TCGTAATTAGCATTTAAAGCATGTCAATTTACTCATGAAATTATGCATGCTGGTGGATGTTGGTGATTCTGATTGTTTTTGCTATAGGAAGCCTTCCATATGCATTTAGACCCCAAAGGTGCACCCTATTTTGTATTAGAGATCAATAATAATTTATGGATGAGGGTCCACGACTATCATTTTTGGAACCTTATCCATTTTTAACTCGTGAATTGCGCACATGCGCAAGACGAGTTATAGATATGATGTGGGGAATAGCATTCGCTCGCTCGCTCGCTCGCTCGATTGGTCGATTCCTGTCAACTTTTTTTCGATTTTAGGCTTTTGAGTGCATTTGATAGTTTTTGGCGAGCAATAAACAAACGAAATGGCGACCTTTGTTGCTAAGAATAGTGGTGGGGTGAAAAGAAGCCAATGATAATCTTAAAAGAGTGTTTTTTTTTCGTTTTAGTTTCAACAAGGGGCGCCAGCGACTGGCAGGCATGCAAGGATTCACACTGAAACAACAGAACAACCTTCGTTTTTCATAAAATTGTAATTCGCAATCCTTGAACTTGAAAAAAAATCCGAAGATTCATTGAAAATATCATTTACTGCGAAGCGCACGGAGTTTACAGATGTTCAAAAGCTTTTTCTGTTATGGCGTGAGATTGAGGACAAAATCGATCATTACGTTTCGTATCGTGTTTTTCCTGTGTGAATCAACAGAAGATGCCGGCGACTGACGAAATTACAAGTTAACACGAAAATCAAATAACACCTAAACAAACAATTTTAAATACCAATTTTCTGTGAATTTTTAACGAACAATTTTCTTTTAAGTTTCAAGACAATTTGAAGATTTAAAATACGTATTACGTACTAAAATGCGAAAGTCATACACCACAAAACTGATAAATAGGCCTGAAATGAAATTCTATCTTGTTATTGATTATACGTTGCCTAGCACGTGACTAAAATCTACCCAGGCGGAGACCAAAATGACGGTGGCAGTTTTGGCTTAGTTATATCACTAAAAACTCGTTCCCGTTTGTCTCATTGGATAAAGAGGGAATCGTTAATGTTTTCATTAAGGCAGTATTGCCTTGATTTTCTAATTTTTACAATGATAGACAGTAAATTTCACTTTTCACACACATTTACTTCCAACCTTTTCTTTTGAACCAGAAACAAAAATGATACGTTTAAAACACATGACATCATCCACCCTTGTCAAATGTAATAGCATGATCATTTCAATTGCAATGCCTTCTTATCCCAACGTTACTTTGTTTCTTTGCTACATTAGCGAACACTGAACTACTGCTTGTACTCTAGATACGACAATCAACCACAAAATTCCCTAAACCAGATAACATTAAACATAATCCAAAAAATCATGTGTCAATTCACGAGTTTGCTCATAGAGCACTTTGATTAGATCAATTTTCTTCTCCCGCGTTTTGAGCAATAGAGATGAAAAGTTATCAGATTCCCTTTCTTTCGAAAATTTTGTCTCAAAACAGATTTCATTGCAATTGAATTACCTTATTTTGAATAATATGTTTTGAAAGCGTGCCAGAATTTAACAGGCTAAATCATGTACCAAATACCAATTTTTCTCAACATTTGTATAATTAAGCACTCGGAAAGATTTCTGCTTCATGATGAGGGAAAGGTGATGATGATATGATATCTTCATTATGAAATAAATACGAAATAGCTATTATTATGATTATTATCTTAACATAAATGTATCTTCCTTATTGCAGTTCCTTCAAAGCCTCCGAGTGGCTTTAATCTGACTGCATCCTCTTCTACTAGTATTACAGCATCTTGGCAGTTACCCCCAGAAACGTCCAGAAATGGAATAATCAAAGGATTTAAATTGTTCTATCGAAAGAAAGGCTCTGCTGGGTCAGAATTGATGCGGCATATAACAGATCAGGCAAAGCGCCTTGAAGAAGTCACTAGCCTTGACAAGTTCACAGAATATGAATTTAAAATACTGGCTTTCACTTCTGTTGGTGATGGACCAAAGAGTTCCATTTTAACTGAAAGAACAAAAGAAGATGGTGAGACGTAGAAAATTAATAATGTTGCCTACATACTTGCTAGAATTTCCTCCTATATGAACCTTTCTTTCTTTTCATAATATTAATAGAACAGCTGTTTAAGAAAACATAGGAGGCTGGTAAGAATTATGATCAGTGCAACGGTCTATGCACTAGTGTTAACTACAAACCCACAGATTCACATAGTTACTTGTTGTATTCATCTTCGCATCCATCACACGTCAAGAATTCTATACCTTTTACAAAGTTTCTCAGACTTCGTAGTTTAGGTAGTGACAACTCTGATTTTTACGAAAAATCAGAGGCAATGTGCTAGATTTTCGATAAACATGGCTATCCTGTTTCTGTTGTTCTAGCGGGCGACCACTGTGCTCAACAAATTGATCGACAGGTAGCACTACAAATGGCTGAGAAGTAAAACACTGATCGCATTTTATTCACTCTCACATTTCACCCTCACAACCACACGGTTAAATCTATCATTCTTACAAACGTTAAATGACTAGTACTATCTTTTAGCGACCTCCACTAATTTCATTCATTTTGGTCAGAAGTTCATTTCAAACCGGTAACCAACCTGGAACTTTCAAATGCGCTCACTCACAATGCAAAACTTGTCCTTTCATTCATAACGTGGAGAAAATGTCAGGAAGAGATCCATTAAGATCACTGATCCCTTTACGTTCCCCTCGCTACAAAAAAGTTATACATTGGTAAAACAGGAAGACGACAAGGTGACCGGTTACGAGAACACCTTCGCGATGTAGAGACAAATGACAAGGACGCATCCAAACCAGTGGCTTGACACTTAAATCTCCCTAATCGTTCTTAGTAGCATATAGCATATGGCAGTTTGCGGCCTTTCCCTACAGCCAGGCAGTTCGGGAAGCCGAAAAACTCTGGAACAAAAATTTATCTTCCAAATCGGTACTCTTAATCCCCGCGGTATCAACGAGCGCTTTTCATTCAACTTATTTACGCTTGTTTTCTCCTCACCATATTCCCACCAGTAGGGTAGTTCCATTTTCTGCATTTAAACCTACACACGACCCACAATTCCTCCAATCGCTCTGACGAAGGACTAACGCTAGGAACGTCAGCCTTTAAACTCTTAACGATTGCCAATTTACGTTATCAATTCAGTTGATCATACCAAATTACCTTATATAAAAGTGGTACTAGTAATATTTGTATCTGGATGTATTGTTCCCCATCACGTGATCAGTATTAGGTGGAAGCTATATGTACCTTCTAAACCAAGTAGTTCCCGTCATATGGTTATGATATTTAGTGTATCTTTTAAATAAACAAAACGTATCAAGAAATGGCCCATTGTTCCGGGTCAACTTTTCCATCAAGCATCAAACAAAAGTCCTGAGTAATTGGTTGTCCTGAGGGACTTTGGCCGAAGGGAGGCGGAAAAGCTCGTAACTGATCGAGAAAATTATCGGAGTGACAATTTTGCCGCACTGGGGGAGTGGGTAGTGTAAATATGCACTAGTAAAATCAATCTCCATCGGTGTACCCAAGGGTAGACTTGACCCTCGTTTAACGCATCGAGCCAAAGGTTCGCAAATTCAAAAATAATTAAATTTATCATTATTGCAGTGACTCATTTAAACCACCTCTCACTATATGTAAGTCAAGTCGCCTGGTAAAAGTCAACGTACAAATATATTTTTTGGTCCTACTACTGGTGTTAAATACAATCGAAAGTGACGGTTTTCTGTGGAGAGCATCGAGGCGATTAAAGACCTTGTTTCTGGTGCACAGCTGTTTTCAGACGAGGCGCTCGTCATTTTTAGAACCAACATGTTTACCTAACGCGAGGATCTTTCTTTGCAAAAGCGCCAAATTCGTGTAACTATGTTGATGATACAAGATATACTGATCAAAGCAATGATTTTTAGTTTTTGCGAGAGCATCTATTTGAGTTATTTTCGTTTTCAATCAAACGCGTGGCAATATGAGGGTGTGAAATTTTTTCACTCACAAGTCTCACAATGAAGAAGGTGCGAGTTTTTTTTAAATTATCTTTTGCGAAAAAAAGCAGGTCCTGCTTAAAAGTAAGTCTCTCTCATTAAAAACTATAAGAGTTTTACAGCGGATTTTAACAATCTTTGTTAAAAGTAAGGAGCTGTCAACAGCTTCTCCAATTTTCGCAGAGAGTAGGCGCTGGCACACAGCTGTTTTCTAATCAGGCGCTCACTTTCTGGAACCAACAAGTCTATCTAAGAAGAGGATTCCTGTTTACAAAAGCACAGAATGCTTGCAACGATGTTGATGACACAAGATGCCCTGATCGAGGAAATTATATCTAGTTTTGGATAGAACATCTATTTTTTGAGTTATTCTCGTTTTCAATCAATGCGCGGCAAGACGAGGGTGTGATATTTTACTCACAAGTCTCACAATGGAGAAGTTGCGAATTTTTTTTTTGGTTTGTTTCCTATTTATTAATTGGAATAAACACAAGAGTAGGGAAAAAACGGGAACTAGCATAATTGTTTTTGCACATATCTTCATTAATACTACTACCTTTAGTACAAATAATCTAAAGATGATTCACCTACACTACTTTATTTGTATGAAATGATAAAAAAAATCAGGAAATAAGATGAGAATTGTTGAAAATGAGTAATTAAGTATAGGTGACTACCAATTGCTGTGATTCAATTCACAAAATGTCCTGTTCTTTGTTAGCTGAAGACTTTAAGCGATCCAAATTGTTCAACTAATCACTAATGAAAAGGAGATATCTTAGATTTTAGACTTTTGCTGGTACATTTTTAGATGACGAAGATTCAACTGCGACTTTAGTTTTTCAAAAATTCCTGGTATTTTTCTCCAAATTGTGGTAAAAATATTTTCCCTTGTGAATAGAATACCCAAACATGTAGTAATACTGTCTTCTGATAAGTTTGATGTTTTCATTCTATTTCTTAGCACCAAGTGTTGGTCCAGACTCTGTTTCTACCTCTCAAGTGAACAAGACGACATTTAACATTTCATGGGAACCTCTACAAAGAGAAGAGAGTCATGGAAAAGTTACTTTGTATGAAGTCAAGGCCATCTTCTTGAAGAAAGGAAATTTGCGCAAAAGATCCGTAATTTACAGCCCTGTCAATACCTCAGTGACATTTGTTGTCCTGTCTGACTTAGAGCTTTGTTCTAGATATAATGTCTCTGTTCGAGCTTACACCGCAAAAGGGCCTGGACCATATGGTGAACCTTTAGAACTGGAAACATCAAGTTAGTTTCTAAGATTATTATGAAAATTATCCTGGTATGGGACATGATTGGTGAAAAAATTACTGTAAGAATAATTTCGTTTTATTCTACGATTATTGACAATTTTTAAAAAAAGCCGAACTTGTAACATTCATTATACGATTAGATTATTTCCTTGAGGTACTCTGACTCCATAACTTTTACAATATACTTAAGACTTTTCTTGAACTTTTATATTTTCTAACATAACACTGTAGGACCTGAAGCACCAGGGGAATTTAAAGTAACAGAGTCTGGAGCAACCCATATTACCCTGGCGTGGAAACAATATGATGACAAGGAAAAAATTGCCTATACTGTAAGTTGGATTAGATTACCGTATTTGTTCTCTTTGGGAGAAATTATTTCGCCTGTAATTTTAAGTAGTATATATACCCTACATAGTTAGACATGTCTTGAAACAACAACAACAACAACAACAACAACAACAACAACAATAACAATAATAATAACCGTAATAATCGAATAATTTATCAAGGATAGCCCTTCAATACAAAAGTACTGTTATCAACGGGGTCCTGCTGATTAAGAGTTAAAACTAACAAATAAGAAATTATTAAAAATATATATATAACATAGAAACTATAATACTATCTATAGGTACTATCTAGATAGTACCTATAGTACCATAATTTCAAACTTATGTTTGTGTGAGATGTTCTAGGCATATTTATATTTTTAGTGCTGACACTAATAAATGTGTAATGACGATACCAAAGGGAATTCTTTGATATGTTTCATCAGCAGGATTTTGTTTCAATTGAAATTTATTTTTCAAAAGAAAAAAACAACAACTCTTATCTTTGCTAGATTTTCAAGAAACTAACCGTTGTGAATGACTTGATTCCAAGTCAGACCAATTGTATCTTCACAACTTCATATATTTACAAAAGGGAAGTCCTTCTTATATATTTTGACTCGATTTTAATTTATGTCACAAAGGTAACCCGACAAGTCACCCAAAATGAGACCAGAGTCATCATTTCAGCTGGAAACTATTGACTTTGGTTAAATCCCATCCCAAGCTCATTCTTGAAATCGCATAATTTGCACCAAAACAAAAAGTCAAAATTACAAAACTTTTGTATTTTATCTGAACATTAAATGTTCCTCGAAATTCACATTTTCTGTATAAAAAACTTTGTATAATTTTGTCCAAGTTTATTTCCCATCAGGGATTTTTTAAAAGATTAACGTAGAAACATTAAATTTGTAGTAATTGTATATCGGAGCCTTTTGTACGTAATCGTATAGGTGAAGTACGCTGGAACAAAGTCCTACAATAAAACATTCAGAGATGAGAAGACTATGAAAGCAATAAAGGCAACAACACAGAAGGTAGAAGGGTTGATTCCAGGCACCACATATGAATTTAGAGTTCATGGCACCTCTGTTTGTGGCGATAGTGCTTCTAAAGTCGTCTCAAAGATAACAGATATGATAGGTAAGTTTCCAAATTCTTTGAGGCTAACCAATCATTGTAATAGGTTATCTATGAAACTATCTCAGAAAACATTTGCTCTGACGAAGGTCCAACGCTCGAAACGTCAGCTTTGAAACTCTTAACAGTGGCCAATTTACGTTATCATCTCAGTTGACAATACAAAATTACCTTGATATACTCTCCCACCGACGCAGCGACACAGTTTCCTTACAAACTTACCTTCTTGGATCATTTACCAATGACACTCGTACCTTTCCATTTTCGTCAAAACCAGTGATATCAATTTTTTGTAAGTTTTTGTTTTAGGTAGATCTGTCCCCGGTTGTTTGAAGAGTGTTTAACGCTATCCTCTGGTTCCTAGTGTAGGATATCGATAGCGATTTATCCATTGGATAGCTTTATCTGAAAGGAACCCTTTTCTGTGCAAGAGTGTTGTTGTGGTTCAGAAGTTATTTTTTTCCTTACCAGCTCCTAAAGCCCCAGTTCCACTTAGTATAACCGATGTTGAGGTTTCTCAGACAGCTGTGGATATTTATCTGTGGCCTGTTGAACAAAAATATGGTCCAGTAAGGTAATTATCAATAAGAATGTGATTTTCTAAAGAACCAGAGGTGGAATAGATCCTGCCGTAAGATATAAGGTAAGATTACTTGCCGCTTCTCGATAAATGAGGTCACGCTCCCTCCACGAAGGCTGGTTTCGTGTGTGCGACGGAAATTAAACTTAAGAGGCGTTAGATATTTAATAATTTTTGAAAAAGGTACATTAAAAGGGTCCTTTAGGAAATATTAAATGAATTACCGAAACTGCAAATATTATTCATTAAAAAGGGTCTTTTAGGAAATTAAACTTAAGAGGCGTTTGATATTTTATAATTTTTGAAAAAGGTTCATTAAAAGGGTCCTTTAGGAAATATTAAATGAATTACGAAACTGTCGGCGGATTCTCGATGTTAATGGTCAGTGGCCCTTAAATGCTATCTTAATGGCCTCTTTTCGAGATGTTACTCATTAATCTGGCATTTTGTTTTATACCTTTCAGTGCTTATCAGGTTATTGTTCTGAAAGTCGCTGATGGCGTTGAAGAGCTTCCAAACAATTATGATTCAAAACTGAAAGCTGCAAGTGATGCTAAGAAAGAGAACGTGAATTTTTACATTGCTGCTGAGATTGAAAATTTCAACAAACCTCAGAAATTTACCGTTGGCGATGGTAATAAAACTAAGGAATTTGTGAATGAAGAACTTGATAAAGGAGAAAACTACATTGTGTATGAGAGAGCTCTAACTAAAGTCGAGGAGGTATGTAAACTACTTATTTCAAAAATTTTCCTCTTTTTTTTTTTACAACCAGAATCATCTGATCATCAGCGTGGTGAAACGGTCTGCCTTTTCTTCTGGAAAAAATATCTAACTCCTCTCCATCAAGATTTAACCTTGGAGGAGGCCTACCTTAAACTCACTAGAGCACAAACGTGCCTTCATTAGTTGTACAACTGGGTTTATTGACCTTTTTCTGAGTCGATTTTTAAGAGTAGCTCGCTAGAGAGTACCTCTCTCTGTATTTGGCACTGCAAATACAGAGAAAGGTGTATGTCAACGCATACCCTCCTAATGTGTGTAAACACATACACTAGGAGGTTATGTAATCTAACCACACAATAATTTTGCAGTTCCTTTGGTCTCGATTCAGTTGCTTCTTTGATTTTAAAGCACGTGCTCTGTTTGTTTTTGTTCTTGTATATTTCACAGGTGGAATTAAAAGGAAATGCAAGCATAGTTGCCAAAATTTCCATCATCTCTACTACCACGGGTTTGTCTATATTGTACTTAACAAGCAATGAAGTTGCATATTGTACTACAAAGTAACAGAGAGCAAAATGATTTCTGGAGCTTTTCAGGAGCAGTTCTTTACTTGCAAGAATGTTGGCTCCGAGAGCCTCATGCCCAGGCTGGTATTAATTACAACTGGCCTGGAGATTCTCCTCGTTAAGTTAATCTTGCAATCAATTTTTTGTTTTAAGTTATCAAAACCTGGTTTCTCGTTCAGACTATCTATATCATCAAGCTATGCTCAATCCAAAACACCGACTTCGAGTGTTCACCGTTTACCCCAGATTTTGTCTCACTCATGATCAGTTTCGTAGGAAGCTAAATTTGGTGACGATAATAAGCTGCATCGCACATCGGAGCAAACAAAATGATTTTGATAACACAATTGCGGTGTGTCACGGGTATCTCTCTCGTCTTGTTCAATAAAGTTTAGAAACTGGACTTGGCGCTGATTTTTTAAATTAAATTGCTCGTAGTACTGAGCTTTATTGAGCTACGTCACAATATTTTTTGTGTTTTTTTTGCCGTTTTGTTCCTGAAAAACTGTAATGAATGCAAGGGAAACCATAAGTTAATTGATATCCAGGGTAGACAAACACAATAAAAGTACGAATGAGCCTAAAAAGAACAAGGATGGTTAAGAATGGAGAAGTTTGACAGCGATTACTAATGAAGAAGTTCTATTTTGACGGTTGAATGTACTTTCCTCCACCTAGCTCCTTTGAGACTTCCCAGTAGCAGGAAACAATGATACAGTTAGTAGTACAAGTCAGCACTCCAAGCTGCAATCATTTTGGTTGCCATGGCGACGAAATTCTCAGCGAAAGTCGACGAATTCGCCACATGTTTTCGGCTGTCAAGTAGCAAGCTGTAATGTTTTCATGTTTTAACAAAATTGAATGGCCCATACCAGGGGCTTTAGTCTTGAGATGTCACGCGAGCCTTTAAAATAATTGTCGGCCACTGTCGACTAAAAATTCTTTCTCTTACGACGATTACCTGGTTTTCGGCTGCCAACTGTCTGCTCTGAAACAACTTTAAGCTTGGAGCACTGCAAGTAGTAATTCCAGAAGAGCTTAATTATTAAATGCTCTTTACTTTTTTCTTATGCAGAAGGTGAGAAAAAGGAAAAGTCCAGCGGTTCTAACGCTGCAGCTGTTGCTGTACCTGTAGTCCTGTTGCTACTCCTTATACCAGCAGTTGTTGTCGCTGTGTTCTTATACCGGAGGTTTGTTTCGTTTTAAGACTGAATCCTAGTGACTGAGCGTAGAAAAAAAGTATGGCAGCCGAAAATTCGACATTTTGTTCTTTTTTTTAGGAGAAGGCAGTCAAGATCCAAAAGTGCCGGGGAAAGATCTGTTCAACTAGATGACATTAAAGACGATTCACAAGACCTTACCTCAAGTACATCAAATCTGGTCTATCAAAATGTAGCAGACATTCGTCGGACAATTCATGGTAAGTTTTCGTAGATAAAGGTGAAATCAATACATACAATATACATGTTAGTTTTCTAGGAGAGGGTCATTGAAAAACTTTCACGGTTGAAGTCATAACGTTCGTACAATTAGCTACGATTGAATCGTTATTTTCATGTTAAAAATGATTGTTGGGATGCCTTGCTAAATTTTTACTTAAACTGTGTCTGACTCATGTATTGTCTGTGTTACAAAGTTATATCTTTAAAGTCAAAATTTGGATCAGCATCATTTCAACTTGGAAAGTGGTGAAAACTTTTCAAATTAATATAGGAAGTGGTTTGTACCAGGAGCAATTTTTAATCGTGCAGTCAAGTTTGCCGTGACGCTATTGGCTGCAAGATTCAAGTAGTGTAACTTGGTCGTGATTGCACCAATCAGCTATTACGAACCAGATTTAGTTACATCACCTGACAAACAAAACAATTTCTCACTTAATTGTGCTGATGAAATTTTTTCCTGGTCATTGAAAGGTCTTCATCGCAGTCGACAACAGTCCTTTTCAAAACAACCCTCACCTGGTCTATTGGACTGCGTGTAACTGGTCATCGTTTTTAAATACATAAAAAAAAAAGTAAAACTAGTTGATTGGAGATTTGTATCAAAACAAAGTTGCGGTTACTATATATATATTTAAAGTTAAATTACCTTAAAAATGTAATTCGTGTATCAAGTACCCTACTACAAAAATCTCGAAAAATTAATACCGCATAAAATGCTGTTTTGCGCAGCCATGGACAACGATGAATGAAATCTTAAAACTACCAGCCCTTTGTCGCAACGGCGTGAGTTTTGTTCATGTGGACGTTCCTTGTCACAAATGATTCTTCTCCACTAAATATTAATTCAGCACGTGAGGTACATGGTACATGATTCTCAGACAGCAGATACCTTGAGTCTAAAAATAACTTTGTGGGGGGTAGTGGAACTACTCCAGATTTAAAGGTTACTCAAGGAATACACTCTCATAGCTTGTTCGTTACTTGAGCTATATCTTAAGGTCGGGGTATGTGTTTCTTGTTGAGTGTAGCAAACGAAACGGAGCAATTGGAGCATATCTGTTACCTAGGAGGAGAATTGATAACACGGTCGAGCGTCGATAGAGAAGATCAAAGGAATTGTAGAGTTCCTTATGAGCGATTTTTCTACCCTACAGATGCTGGGAAACAGCCTGTTAGTGAAGAAGAAGAAGCTATTTACAGTGAGGCTGACGATGGTAAACCCAAGCCATTACCTGTGGCTGAGTTTCCAAAATACTTCAAGAAAAAATCAGAAAATGGTGCCATTGTGTTGCGAGAGGAATTTAAGGCAAGATATGTATATTTTATCTATTATAGTTTTTACCTCTTTCCTTTTCTTTCTTATTATTGTATGATACAGTAATTATCAATATTTCTCGAATTGTTTCGTGTTTTTTACTTTCTTAATGGACAACTTGACATACATATGCTTCAGTACATTATGTATCACCATTTTTTGCAAAAGCGCAAGAACAATTTTTTTGGATGTCGTTGCAAGGGTCGAAAAAAGTGATGACATCTAATCGGTTTTGATAAGAGCACATGTATTGCAACTTAGTTCATACCTTTTCCAGTATTTACCAGGTGGGATGCAATTTGCTTGGGAGATTGGCAAGAGTAACAGAGGCAAGAACCGTTATGGAAACATTGTTTCATGTGAGTACATTCCATCAACTTTGTAAGTAATTTTATGCAATGGTCACTATGTAAAACCCAGAAGTTTAGATAACTAGAAGTCAGCTTCTAGTGCAGGGACTGTAACTGGTGCTTCCCCTTTCAGTCGTCTTGTGAGGCAATTAAGTCGAACCAACTCAATAACCACCTCCCAGCTGGATGGTTAGCTCAGTTGATAAAGTAATGCACTGATATCACAGGGGTCATGGATTCAAATCCCGGTCAGGCCTGAATCTTTTTTTTCAAATTCCATTGTTGATAAATCGCAGAACTATACTGGGATTAACAATCGCTTCAAAATTGTTGATTTAGGAAGTGGTGAGCTTAAATCTTGAGAGATTATAATGTTTTAATCCAAATTTTGAACCTTACGTTCAAAGCGCATCATTCTTAAGATTTCTTTGCATTTCACACCATTAAAAAAAACTGTTGAAAAATTCAATAGAAACTGAACAAACGATTGTGTTTGTTCACAGATGATCATTCTCGCGTTTTGTTGGAGGAAATAGAGGGTGACAAAAACTCTAGCTACATCAATGCAAGCTACATTCCGGTCAGTAACAAAAAAAGCATACGACAACGTGAACACAACAACACTATACGACATGACACGACAAGACAAGATAAAGAAGAACGACAAAGTCGACCTTACTTGTTTGATATAATGAATGAATAAATAGATAAACAATCGATATTTGAGTTGATTATCGTGAATTTCTGTTATCTTTTTCAAATTTCTCTCCTCAGACCTACGATGAGGTCACCATGACTTATATCGCAACACAAGGTAAATATTACTTGAGGTGTCTCGTGGATACACTGTAAGTTGTCGCACGCTAACTTGTATTGCTGTAGAACAGCTCGTAGGAAATCTGACGCAACATAGAGTCAGAGGGCTAGCAAATGTCCCATGATAATGAGGGTCACTTTCACCGGGTTCTTTGTCGGTATATTTAATCGTGTACCCTTTCCAAATGGGGCACCCCTGGAACTAACAAAAGCGTCGTCGATCCCATCGTTAAAGGTAATACATTGTAGGAACAAAGCTTTTAGAAAACTCTCATCCAGTTCAGACGACAGTTTCTAGACTTTTAGGGGGCGAAGATTATCACTCATCATTACAGGGTTCCATCAACTTATTGGGCTTTTTGTTGTGGCCTTTTACCAGAATTTTGCGTTGTTTCAGTGTTCTACTCTTTGGGCAGAAGTATTCCGGGAATAAAGCAGCAATAAATGATGAAAACTCCCACACTCCCAAAAAAAAGACTTGTCCCATTCTTTTGTTAATAAATGCTAAAAAGCTCCTGTGAAATTAACTCATGTTTCGCCTCTCTTTTGTTTTAATGATTATTAGGTCCAACTTCTACAACTATCGCTGATTTCTGGCGAATGGTCTGGCAGGAAAACAGTTTCACTATTGTGATGCTTACAAACCTGGTTGAACTGGGAAAGGTAGACGTAGCGCAAGTTTTTAGTTTGATGTTGAACGTAATCCAGAGTTTCAGTGATTTTTCATTTTCTACACTTAAGGAGTAGTCTTTAAAACATGCATCATAACCTCAGCCAGCAAGCCACCCAGCGATTAGGCTACTTGCGTAGCATGCTGTACGATGAAGTTGTTGGTCGCTATATATAGTATCAACCTATTTTTTTCTTATCATATCTTTAGGGCAAATGCGATCAGTATTGGCCAGATGATACTTCCAAATTTGGTGCTATCACAGTTACCCTACACAAGACTGAAACATTTGCCGATTACGTCATCAGGTCATTGATTGTGACAAAGGTGGGTTGTCTCTGTTCGAAATGAAATTACGTTGAATACGACGTCTTGCATTTTTTTTTTACTGTAAACTACTTGCAAAGAATGACAGCGTATTTTAAACCAAGAGAGCTCCCTCTGTAACAACATTCCCAACATGAGAACGAATTTTCACTTAGGACTCAGAAAAAAGGACCGTGCAGCAGTTTCATTACGTCACTTGGCCTGACAAAGGTGTCCCACAACATTCCACAGCTCTACTTGGATTTAGACAAAAGATTCATGCGAGGCACCAGGCTACTGGTGGACCACTTGTTGTGCACTGCAGGTAAAAAGTATAATAAAATTTGAAGACTTCAAATTAAATGCTTCACATTCGCAAATCTTTATCGTATGTTAGTTTAGTTCTTCTGTAGATATTTCAATTGCGATTTCTATCTGGTTTGGATAACAGGAAACAAACGTTTTGATCAGAAGAAAGATTAATATCACAAGGAACCTAAAAGAACTGAAATTAAAACAGTAAAACTGTCTTAAGTGTTAGAATTATATGCGTTAGTTTAGGGCTCTTTTTAATAGTGTAGTTAACCCTTCAGCTCCCACGAGTGACTAAGACAGAGTTTCTCCTACAATATCAATGCAATGTCAACCAGATAAGTGATAAGAATAAAAAGAAATATCAGCTGGGGGATAATTAGTTGATCCAATACTTAATTCTCCGAACTAACATATTAAGAATTGTATGGGTGACAGTTAGGAGAATTACAAATTTGGTCGAGGAGCTGAAGGGTTAATAAATAGATCTCAATTGTTTACTCTCAATACTCTTACTGAACACACCAATGATTTCGAGAATTTTAAAAACACAAGTGAACCCTGCTGGAAGCGAAGCCTAGAGGTATCTGAGGTATTTCAAAAGTCAGGTCTCCAACTTTTACCTTCTGCTCCTGCCGTTTCCTCTTTATTGGTCGCGACCCTTAATAGTTCTTGCTATTTTTCCTCAATGTCTATTGTTCTCTCCGTTGTTTGTTACTTACATCTGTGGTTACCTTTGTACAGTGCTGGTGTTGGTCGAACTGGCACATACATTGCTATCGACGCCATGGTGGAGAGTGCTGAGAAGATAAAAACTGTGTTCATACAGAATTACGTGCAAGTCATGCGTAGATCTCGTCCTCATATGATTCAGAAAGATGTAAGTTAACAAATTTAACCGTTTTCCATAAGAATAACAGTAGCAAAAGTCCTATTTATTCTTCCCCAGTGCATCTTCAGAACGAGTATACGTCATGATATTAAAACTGATACGGTGTCTTAATGACCCAAGCCTGGTCATTTTTCAAATCATTTTCAAATCATTTTTTATGATTTCGATATGACACCCAAATGATTTTATAGAAAATCCTAACCTTTTGCAATTTCCATCTGAAAATTTAGTAAAATACAGAGTTTATGTAAAAATAAATACCACAGTGAGCACTACTCTTTTTTTAACTTCTAGAGTAATAAATCGATCAATAAATTTACAGGGGCATTAAGTAACTCCTTCCTTACTATCTTATAACTCATTCACACTAACAAAACATGCTCAGTTAAACCGAATTTTTACTGAATGAAAACCACAAACAGAAAACTGAAAAATTGAATTTTTCACAATACTTAAGTACTCGGTTACTTGTATTTTCAATTTGCTACATTTAAACATTGGTTCTATGAAGACAAGAAATTAAACCATGTTTTACAAAACAGCTGTAAAACATGTCTAAGGTTTGGTGTGTAAATGAGGTTTGAATAATTTGAGAATACGACTGATATACGGAAAAATGGCCGACCTTCTTTGTAGAGTTCAAATTTGCTCTTCGGCCAACGCCAGGAACGGTCACGGTTTTAAAAACGATGATGTTTTGGTTGGTAGCGAGGATACAGGGTTTATTTGTCGTGGATGTTTCAGTTTGACGGTGACGAATTTCCTAAATTTAGCTTCATCAAAAACTGTCCTTTGCAACAGTATCGGTATGTACTTTATCTCTGTATAGGACCAGTATGTTTTCTTGCACCAAGCAGTGATGGAAGCCTTGGTATGTGGAGATACAGAGATTATCCCTCAGGACCTACGAATTGCGACAAACAAGCTTGCCAAGGTGCATAAACCATCCAAAAAGACTGGATATGAACGAGAGTTAAAGGCAAGTGATAACTATTGTTAGTAACTAAATTGGGTTTTGTATGTTATTAATTGTGCGTAAACGTAAATGCTGACAAGACAGCTTATTACTTGCTTCTGGAGATTCTTTTAAAGACGTGTCAGTGTGACTTTGTTAACTTCATGTTCATATCTCATCTACAGTTCTTAAAGATAAAAAAATCTCGAAAAAATTATTGTCAGACGTAATTATCAAAATACAAAGCGTGCTTTTGTTCATGGATAACTTCTGCAAATTTCTTTTTAACATACATATTAGTAGCAGATGAACTACTCTGTAATTTGTTGATCTTACATCACAATTTTTTTTTTCACTTTTCTATTAATTTAATTTGTGTGTGTGTGTTTTGCGCGATTAAAAAAAAAGATTACCTTTAGCCTGAATGAAACAGCAATATAGTAGTTCGCTAAGAAACAAAAATGCTATGGAAACAACAATTAACTAGGACCCAACAAAAATGGCTTAAGATGGAAGGGATTAAAACTGGATAGGACAAACTGAGAGAATTTTATGTGTTGTAGCGCTTGGAGCTTGTAACAGACGCCCACGCTTCTCAAGAAGTAGCAACGAACGCATTTATGCCCGCTAACGTCGTCAAGAACAGATTCCCCAACATTGTTCCGCGTAAGTGTTCCTTTGTCTTTGTTTGCATTGTTCCTGAAACACGAAACAAAACTTTTGCTTACTCCTGAATTATTTTCTAGCGGAGTCTTAAACCGAGGGGGTCTCATTCGGTCTGTGATCTTACCAGTGATCAACGAAATCGAAAGACCACAAGCAACGTTAATTTTTTTTGTCACAAGACAGGTTTGGACGACAGTAAGTTCTGTTACTGAACAATCAAAACTGTCAGAGCATTTTGGGAACAAAATACACATTGATTACGCGCGAACTATCCTTTCTTACTGTGCAGTTACAGGCATGAATCGTGCACTATTAGATTAGTGCGCTGTTCAAGCTACCGATCATTAATCGTACTCTATCATTTTGTTACTTTTTATTAACTAAGGTTATAGCCTATGAGAGACGCACCCTTTCATTGGTTGAAAGAGCCTGCTCTATCAAAGTACAGAGCACGGAGCTGAGCTAGAGCTGTCACGCCATCCGCCAATTTTTACTATGTCCGACCATTTCCCGGACATCTCTCTTGTTTTGTTCGTTATGTAAAAGTGAAATTTCACGAAGTGGGGAGAAACACGAGACATGGTCGAGTGTTTCTCCCTACACTTCTTTCGTGTTTTATCCGCCTCCTGCGTTCTTTACAACAGAACAGAGCATAGTCAAGGCTCCAAACGCTAGATCTGAGACAATCCTTATAACTTTTGTTAAGTATATTTTTTTTGTTTGCACAAATGCCTTTAATTTGATTAAACATTAAACACTTATATTCGATTTTGTACCAGTGGACAATGCTCGAGTGCATTTACAAGCGTCTTCACAAGAAAAGAGTTACATCAATGCCTCTTATGTGGATGTAAGTGCAAAAATGCCCTTGTAAAACTTTTATAATACATTCTGTAATTCTAGCGTGCTGATAAGAAAAGACTCAGTATTTTCGGGTTCTTTAGAAAGCTTTCTGTTGCAACGTGTCCGTATGGTAGATTTTTTAATTCAGTCAACCCATAAAAAGGTGTTTATTTCTATTCAAGTTTTCCTTCTTGGGTTGTGGTGTTTTTATTCTTTTCGTATTGGTATATTCGTGTTGCTTAACTTGACGTCCATATTTTTCTTTGATCTTTTATTTATCAGGACTACACACAACGTAATGCATACATCCTGACACAAGCTCCGTTAGACTGCACCATTATAGACTTCTGGCTTATGATTTCTCAGTATGATATTGGCACAGTTGTGATGTTGAATAACTTGGAAGAAGGAAAGCAGGTAAAAATCATGGCATGTTTTTGAAAAGCATATAGCAACACTCTACACTCAGTGTTTGCAACGAAGTGTGCAAAATATGCCTAAACAATATGCTAGAGCTATGCAAGATTGTGCTAGAAATCACGTGATTTATTTCAAAACAGCCAGCTACTGATATGGGTTACTATTGGTATCTGTGGTGAACTTTGATAGATTACCTCTATTCGTTAAACAAATTGATATAGAAATAATTATTTAAGTTATTAAGACATTTTGACAGGACGCGTCACTGTATTTCGGTTATCATCTCAACACTTTTAGAATGAGGAGCCATTTGGTACCCTTCATCGTCCGGAGAAAGTAACATTTTACAACGATTGACCAACTGAGTATACTCTCAAATGTCAGTGAGACGCTATAGTTGAAACTCTTTTTCGGAAAATCCTTCCTACCATCATGCCCACCATCATATCACATATATTTAGTTATTCGTGTCACGGATCATACATGTAACACTACTTTTCTTTTTTAGAGTTACCCACAATACTGGCCAAGCGAGGGATCTGCCAAGTATGGTGAAGTCACTGTCCAGCTTTTGTCCCAAGAAACTTCAAACAATATCACTACCAGAGGATTCAGCGTCGATAATGCAGCGGTACAGTTTGTTTGTTCTCGAATTGTAAGGTCCCATTTTTTCTGGTTAGTTTGGAGGAAACTTTTATCTATACCAACAAGAGGCATTTGTGCATTCTTGATGCGCGGGAGTTCGACCTTAACTATTTCACCATTAGGAGAGAGACCAATGAGTAATTTTTTCCTTTCTGAATCAAAATACTCTCTGGCAGAGAGGTGATGAGTGGAGAGGAAAATATAAAGAAGAAGAGATTGTTTGAATGAACACGAGATTTTCTGAACGTATTCATAATCGCGGAATCTAGTGGTTGAAATAATTCCTTTTTGATTTGTTTTTGTTTGTTTGTTCTTCGAATTTCAATGTTTTATTCTACGTAATCAAATTAATCCTGCGTGGAAAATTGATTTTTGTTCATTACGGAATGTGTTTGGGAACGTTACAGAAAATCCCACGATTCAATTCACCACTAAGTTTTTTTTGAGGGACTATGCGGCCCATGTGATAACTAATTTAAAATAACTTGACCTCGTGTTCCTCAAAAGAATAGTTTGATTTGGTTTTAATTAAATTCGTTCTTCAGCCCCCTAAGAAGACATCAACTTTACAGCATATACAATACAATGGTTGGGTCAATGAAAACTCATGCCCAGATCCTCAGGATATACTTGACCTGATGACTACTGTACAACAGTCTCAGCAGCAATCAGGAAATAGAGTCATAGTTTTCCAGTGCAGGTATAATGAGCACGTCTCTTACTGATGTTATCATACGTTTAAATGTTGTAATAGACGTGATTCTATACCTACTAGGCGTTTGGCTAATAATGGTGCACTTATGCTAGAATAGCGTATGGTTACTCGAATCATATATGACTTTATGTACATACTTTTTGCATAACGCATTCAGAATGTAAACAGAACATAAAACAACATATCTTGTCTACAAAAGATACAACTATCCAGAGTGTCTACATTAGATACTGCTATCTAAATCTATCTACAGGCACCCATTTACACTATCTACGTTAGATTGAGCTATCCACGCTGACTATATCAGATGAGCCATCTTCACTGTCTACAGTACATACAGCTATCTACACTGTCTCTATTAGATACAACTATTTACACTTTCTAAAGTATATACAGTTTTCCACTCTATGACAATTAGATACAGCAATATACATTATCTATAGTAAGTACAGCTTAGTTTATTCACTTTCTACAGTGGATAAAGCTATCCAAACTGTCTACAATAGATACAGTATTTCCTGGAGACAGTTTAGTTGGCTGTATCTGGCGTGGTCAGTGTTAATGGTTTTATCTTTCTGAAAACAGTAGATACTTGACACTTTGGAAGTTAGATGCTAGGAGAACAAAGGCAAGAACCTGTAATACGAATCTACCACTATGCACTTTTCAACTTTCTTGATTAGTTCTCCGTTTATCTTTCTACAGTGATGGTACGGGTCGTAGTGGCTGCGTAGCCACCATAATGTCAGTGATTGAACAAGTCAAGACTGAACAAACAGTCGATGTTTTCCAGACTGTGAAACTAGTTCGAGCAAAGAGACCAGGTGCAGTCAACACTCTGGTAAGTTAAAAAGTGTCATGAGCCACTGTTATAGCTTTTTTCAGGTGTATGTGCTAGGGGCGTAACAGGGGAGTTCTTCTCCGGGGTGAGTTGGGAATACAAGAGAAACCCAGGATATCTGCCCGGGATGGGTGGAAGGCTGGGTTACGTTCATTTCCCCCCCGCCCTAGAAACTGAGCCTGAGCTTCCCATTGGAGGAATCACAGGAGAAGTCATCCCTTTTGGTCTGCAAGTTAAGTGTGTCTTCTGGTCTCTTTTCTGTCTGGTTTTTCATCATGTTTTATAGTTTTTGCTGCTTTTTCACATATTAAGCTTACTTTGCACAATGCTGAGGGCTTACAGATCAATAGCATATCCTTCGTGAGCTTAAGATGTGTTTCTGTTTTTGTTTTTATCTTTCAGGAGCTGTACATGTTTTGTTACAAAACAGTTCTAGCTTACTTAGACTCTTTCAGCACCTACTCAAACTTTGCAGAATGCTAGAAAGCATTGCAAAGGAAAAAACAAATGTGATAGAAAGAAGTGATACACATCTCGGGTGTTTTTTGTAACAAATTACATTTACTTCTAAGCGGATGGCCTTTCCCCCCTAATAATTTTGCTAAAAAAGTTTTTATTATATATTTTAGTAAAAAAAGGAGTTTTTTGTCATAGGAAGTAGGCAAAATACGTCCGTGCAAGTGGATGTATTGTCAGCTGGAAGAGGTTCACCGCTTGATTGTTGATAAATTTACATCAGATTTTGCTATGCTAACTTGACAAACAAACATGTGTCCCTGTAAGGCTTAGGACTATGGCAATATCAGGAATTCTGTTATCCTACTTTTCAAATTATGCAATTAAAAGAAAGAGATACTGGGTGTATGTACAAAGAAGTTTTACATTCGTAGAGTTTTGTGTTATTTTTAAAGTTAATTGTAAAGGAAAGTTTCTGATAACCTACATATTTCATGATGTCTTTTTTCTTAAAAGTCTACATGAAGTTTCATAGCTATCGTTTTCTATCAACAGTGTTGGATTAAAAGTGGTTTGTAGTTCTATAGTTTGTTTTGGAGAGTTATGGTGCCTTTTTTTTGCCTTTTCTCTCTTCATCTGAATTTAATTCACATCGTTTTCAATTAGAACATCATAATTTCTTTAACAGTATTTTTTTCTCAGAAATAAGATAGAATTGTGTAAAGTTAGATTTTTGATAATTAAATGATTAACTGATTTATTTTTTGAACGATTAATTTGGAATTCAAACGTGCAAAGCACATTGAAATATATATTTACTAATGTAAAAGATAGAGTTCACGTATATAGTTAGTACGTTAGTTATAGATTTATATTCATATAATAATTGTTTGATTGATTCATTGACTGAAATTGGTAATTGTTAAAAAACATGGTTGTATCTTAATATGGTTCCCCATCTCATTATTAACATTTGCTATGTATATTTTATAAATTTCTGAGTGATCGGCTTGCAGGTTCTTATTAAATATTCTTCTAAAAAGTTTAAGAGTATCTTTTTCACTTTAACTGCGTCCGACTGTTAGTTCTTGAAAATTTCGTGAAAGAAAACCTTCATTACTGAAACTATCTGACGTTAAATCAAAAGGAAATAATGTGGCAGAGAAGGGGCCCCGAGTCTTAGCTGTCAGTTCCCCCATAGTTATTTATAGATAGTCTTTCGAACGGAAGTCAGTTTTCCGATACGTCCGCATAGGAAATTCCTGGTAGATGTGATATTCTGAGTAAATGGAATGAACAGCTTAGAGATGAGTTTTTTTTAATAAAACGACCTCGAGAAAAAGAAATGATATTTTTTTTTAGCGAAGTGTTCTGATTGGTTACCCGAGCTGGAAAGATGAGTCCCTCTCTCCCGCACGGGATTGCCCGCTTTGATCCCGCGCAAACTTACAAAGCTCGTAACTCTTGGGCAATGTCAGTGATGAGGTCGAAAAAATTGGGTGAAAGAAGTCAAAACAAAAAAAAAACACGAAGGACTCTCGAGGTTTTGCTGTGCTACAAACCTAGTTGCTTTCTTTCCCGGCTCTTGACTTCGACTTCGTCTCGGTCCATAAAAATGCCCCCCCCCCCAAAAAAAAAAAAAAAAAAAAGTTCTCGGCCAATTTCCAATATCCAGCTAGCAATAACGCACATATCGATGCATTGTAGCAAAAGAGTTCGCTTTTAATGAACTTAAAATGTTCGTGTAGTCAAAACAAGTGCGCGAAAACTAGTCCTTACATTATCACGTCAAAGCAAACTCCCATGGGCGACTAGCAGACATTGAACTGAACAATCAGAGCGCGCGCTTGACGTCGGAAATTCGAAAAAAAAAACACGATGTAACTATTACTGCCACACCTGTAGCATCAAAGGGTGAAATTCAAACTCCCGAACAAACGAACACGCAAGTTCTGTAACAACTATAAGTACTGTAAGGAACTAAATGTATCACATACATAAAAATAATTACACATTCGCCACAAGACCAAGCTCGTCTTTGTAGAATTTGTAGCAATATCGTCCGTACACATAAATCTCTAGTCCATGTTCATTTTTACGAGTGAATGCGTAGCATTTATGAGTATAGGAGGTGTGTGGGGGAAAAAAAGCGCTTAGTCGATTCCTGTGAACGTTTTTCTTTGTTAAGTCGCTGACCAGTGGAAAAATAAAAAAAAAAAAAAAACGGACTATCGCGGGCTCAAATCGTGCGAGTGCCGAAGTCGTGCCTAAGTCGTGTTTGAACTGGAAGTGAGTGGATTTCCTTGAGAAATGGCTTTTTTCTTTGGCCGTAGCTTTTATTCTTGGTTCTTCTTGGATGTATCGACGTTCGACAGTTTTGTATTCATAATGTATTCTGTTGGCGTAAATGAACCACCCGGCCCGCCGAATATAGCAAGGTGCATTCCACTCAAAGGTCACGGCGAAGGTTTGCTAAATGTACGCCAAGATTTTTTAAGGATTATATGGAAAAAGGCAAAGATCCACACCTAAGATCTTCGGCGTAAGTGGTTCAGAATGTAGCCTGGCGAATATACTGGCGTCGTTTGTTTTGAAGTAAGAGTCTTTCATGGTTCGTTCTTCGTAACCTACAGAACATAACAGGTAAGTCTTCATAATGTATCAATTTAATCTCGTTTTCGTTTTAACAAGCGGCGCCAGCGACTGGCAGGCGTGCAAGGATTCACACTGAAATAAGAGACCAACCTTCCTTTTTTCCATAAAATTGTAATTTACAATCCTTGAACTTGAAAACAATCCGAAGATTCATTAAAAATATCACTTACTCCGAAGCGCTCGGAGTTTACAGGTGTTCAAAAGCGTTTTCTGTTATGGCGTGAGATTGGGGACAAAATCGATCATTACATTTCGTATCGTGTTTTTTCCTGTGTGAAGCAACAAAAGGTGCTGGGGACTGACGAAATTACAGGTTAACACGAAAATAAAATAACATCTAAACAAATAATTTTGGCTACCGATTTTCAGTGAATTTTTAAAGTACAATTTTATTTTAAGTTTCAAGGCAATTTGAAGATTCAAAATAAATATTACGTACTAAAATGCGAAAGTTATACACCAAAAAATTGATAAATAGGCCTAAAATGAAATTCTATCTTGTTCTTGATCATACGTTGCCTAGCACGTGACAAAAGTCTACCCAGGCGGAAGTCCAAAATGACGGTGGTAGTCTGGGCTTAGTTATATCACTCAAAAGTCGTTCCCGTTTGTCTAATTTGATAAAGAGGGAAACATTAATGTTTTCATTAAGACGGTATTTCCTTGATTTTCCATTATTTTCAATGATAGACAGTAAATTTTGCTTTCCACCCACATTTACTTCCTACCTTTTCTTTTGAACCAGAATTAAAAATGATATTGTTTAAAACATATGACATCATCCACCCTTGTCAAATGTAATAGCATGATCATTTCAATTGTAATGCCTTCTCATCCCAGTGTTACTTTGTTCCTTTGCTACATTAGCGAACACTGAACTACTGATCGTATTCTAAATATGACAATCAACCACAAAATTCCCTAAACCAGATAACATTAAATATGATCCAAAAATCATGTAAGTAATCTGTCAATTCACGAGTTTGCTCACAGAGCACTTTGATTTCTATTTCTCATTAATGGGTCATATTTCCGCACCATTAATTTACACGTATTCTTTTCATTTTTCAAGATCTCATCTCTACACTATTATTTTCACACTTTATGTAAATTATGCCGCCCTTTGTATATCATTTTTCACGCTTATTTTGCATCGATATAAACCCTTTTCCTACAAGTGTTTTGTGTTTTGTGTATTCCTTCAGCATTTCGTGTTTTGGTCTAGTGGAATCTTCGCGTTTATCCTTCCCGTCTTATATGTTAGTACTTTTTTGTAAAAGTCACTTTTCTGTTCCTTAGGAATTTACTTCTTCTTCACATTCATATTAAAGAGTAGTTAAATTGAACACAGAGTAAATGTGTGTTATTAAAACAGATCCTTGCCCCTTCACTTGAATAGTGAGAAAACAAAGACATCTTGCGTGACCACATACCGTGTCACACTCAATCGAAAGATGGCGCAGTTTAATCTCGAGCTTTGTTTCCTTGTAGCTGTTCTCGCTGTATTTCTTTCTCTTGCTTCAGGTGAGCACCATATCATATCAAATCTACTCGAATGGTTTATTTTCATTTGAATTTTTAGTTTTGAGAGTTGAAGCTTAAGACTTCCGCGTACCATCACAACTTAATCACTAATACAGCCAGCATCAATATCAAAGAGATTAGAGTATTGTTTATTAATCTTAAGATGGATGCTAAGCTCTCTTTCCAAAGCATGTTTGGGAATGTGACCAAACAATTGAATAAATTTGGGTTGACTTGCTTCATTTACTAAAAGCTAATGCATGTTCAGGCAACTTGTGAACATTCAGTTCAAACAGTCCCTGGGGGTAAAGAGACGCCACAACTCTTTCTGCCTAAAAATTCCTTCTCGTCCATGACAAATTAGGGTTTTGAAGCTAATGGAACAACCTAGTAGATAATCATGCTGAGGGTAAGTTTTAATGTAATACAAATAGAAGTCATTCAACTGAGATTTTGTCGTCAAACATAATGATTTAATGCGATCATCGTTAACTAAACTTCTACGCTTGCCTTAGGCATTGACTGATTCCAGTCTGCCTCAGTAAGGTGTCTTTTCCAATCTTGCAGACAAAAGTCAATACTTTATGCTCACGTTCGAGCTTTAGGAGAGGAAACAAAGAAATTTCAGTTTCGTTCAGTTTATGGCTTGAAATCGCAATGAATCAATCGTTATTTATTTGCATTTCTCAAGCAAGCAAGGGGCGTGATTTACATGCATGCATGCCATGCAGGAGAGCGAGGCTGTTTGCTTTTGCCCCTGCGAGTCATGCTTATGGCCGCCTTTTGCCCAGTTTTCCTTGTAGTTAATGACATGCGACTGTGGTGATAAAATATAGAGCTTTGGACAGAAATGTTTTCATTGTAGATAACATCTGAAAATTCAAACTGATGGACAAACCTACACACATTTGTGTGACAACTATAAAAATACTACAAGGAACTAAATGTATCATTTATAATTAAGCACAAACTGATTGAAAGCTCCAGATTTACATGTATTAGTGATAATGCTACAAATTATGAAAATGCAAGCTTGAGTTGTGAGGAAACAGACATGTTCTGTTGGATGAGCTTTCTGTTATATAAGGCTGGTCAAGCAAAACAATTGTGACCACATACTGTGACACACTCAATCAAAACATGGCGAGTTTAATCCTGAGCTTCATTTCCGTGTAATATTTCTCATTGTATTTCTTCCCCTGGCTTCAGTTGAGCACTGCATCATACCAAATCTACTTGAAAGGTTTATTTTAATTTTGAATTCTACATTCAGCGGATATTGTGGGATATATCTTTCAGTTTTGAGACCTGAAGTCTAAGACTTCTGCATATCATCGCAACTCAATCACCAATGCAGACAGCATCAATACAGAGAAGATAAGAAAGCTCTCCCGGGTTTTGCTTTTTTTTTGCATGAAAATGAATGGGAATGTTGACCCCTTCATGCTTTTCTGACCAGCTCAGTTAGGAAGGAAAGAGTTATTCACAAAAGGCAATTTAAATTTTACATTATTCAGCAAATAAAGAGAGAGTCTGAAACCATCATGTTTATTTTGTAAACTTTTTATCAATTTTTTATCAAGACTCTTGGAAATTGTGCTCCCTATATTATGTACTCATTGATGTTATAGGTATAAAGTTTAATGGAACGATTTCAGTTTAACCCGCAATATTCTAAGACAGAGATAGTTTCAAAGATAAGCTAATGTTTTGCCATTGTTTCTTTCATCAAGGAACAGTGTGTGTAATAAATCATGGATTATATCATAGATTATGTGAATTCCAGCATAAATCAGTCAACTCAGCCATTGCATTTCAATAATATACATTCCTGCCGTGCACCTCAGAAATTCTACATTTACCTAAAAAGCCAACTTCTCTTTCCTCCAAGGAAGAGTTAAAAATCCTGTTTCCCTATGTCAAGTTATTTAGTGAATAAATCTCTTTAGGCAGTTGGTATGTCTGTAGCTGAGATATTGTCCAAAAAATGAAAATGTGGCAAAGGGGTAAAGCTGGGAAGGCAAATGAAAAATTGTGAGTAGAAACCCTCAGCCAAGGACATTAGTAGCTGACATACCAACAAGCCAGATGGAGGTTTATCATTAGTAGTCCCTCCATTAATTATTGTATTGTACATTGGG